GCAGGAGGACAGATATGCCCTTCGTCTACACCACCAGCCTGGCCAAGCTCCACTTCCCCGAGGATGCCGTGTATGAGGTGAGACCCAATGGCATGCTGTGCTGTGAGGCAGCCTCACAGCACCTGGATCCCCCTCTTTCCAACTTCCCCTGTTGACAACCTGGGAATTTTTGGGGGGGAAGGACTCCCACACCCTGCCTCCAGGACAAAGGGTCAGCCGCCCATTGGGTTGCCCTCCAGTTGCCCACTGCTGTGTCCCATCCCACTATGCCATGTCGGTGACCATGGCAGGACCTCAAGATGAAAGGTCTGTGGAAATCCTGGTAGCCACCATCTCTCTCTTTCAGGTACAAGATGTGTACAGTGGGAAGATCATCAGCGGCTTAAGGACAGAAGACAGCTTCTCAGTCATTATTAACCCCTCGGGGGTGGTGATGTGGTATCTCTATCCCACAGCGCTCCCGGTGCAGCCCTGGCACATTGTCAGACAGCAAGCCCCTGGCAAGGGTTTCCACCCTGTCCTCCTGTGATGAGGCTCAGCAGATGGGGGTGTGGGTCTCTGCCGGGGTGAGCCGCGAGACCCTGGGGCATATGGCTCTTCACTGCACAAGTGCCTTTTGCTGGCATGCCCGTCAGTGCTGGGGAGTGACCATCAGGTCATTCCTCCGGTACCAGCTTGATGATGTCTGCTTGGTCTGCGTAAAGCGGGAGTTCTTGTTACCCACCTCCTAAGGGTGCACAGAGCATGGTTCCTCAGTGGTTGCAAGGCCCTTGGAGATCCTCCTGTGGAAGATGCCATACAAGCAGAGCCCAGCCACTGTTGGGAGTTTGTCAGCTCTGTCAACTGAGCACTTTACCGCTTTGAACTGGGCATCACCAACTGCTGCAGGGGCTGTTTGAACTACGCCTGTAGAAAGGCCTTGGGTACTTTAGCATCTTCTAGGGTGGTGACCCCCTTCCTCCCCCCATATGTCATGGTGTTAGCCTCAAGGACCAGACCTGGCCACTTTTTTATTTTCCTCTGCTATAATTAGCTTGTCTTAGAATAAGGGGCTGTCAGTAGGGCTGCACCCTTCCCCCCTTCCCTCCCTAGGACCAAGAGCTCCTGAAGGCATGATGGTCCTGTGCAGAGAGGCTTTGCTTGCAGGCTTGCTCCTGCTGTCGGGATCCTGGAGGCCAGCACTACTACAGCCTAGCATGCATGCTAGCATCGGATTAAAGCCCCTTTGGTATCAGTTTACAGCAGAGAAAAAAACCTGAATTGGCCATGCGCAAACCCCAGCAGCCTTGCTGTGGTACAGCACCAAAAACTGCAGAGCCGTAGTGTGTTGTGCACACCAGTGGTGTCGGGAAGATGCCACTGCTCAGTTGAGCTGGGAGATGGTCATGGGTGCCGCGTGCTGCAAGCTGTACCCTGTTCTTGCTCTAGTAGGAAATTCCTGCTTAAAAAGGGGCTCGGAACATCTTCCAGTGGGCTGAACACTAAAGGTTTCTCAGGGAAAGGCTCATCCTTCGCCCAAGGGCAGCTACATCCACAACCCCAACCTGAGGAAGAGCCTGCACTAATAAACTGGAAACGGGTGGCAGGACAGCCTCTAGAGCCCTGAACTGATTTTCCTTCATACAGTGCACATCCTATGGGGGAATTATAGTGAGACCTGGCCCACCCCAACTGTCCCAGAAAGGGATGGCAGCATTTGTGAAGATTGCAGCCCAGGGAGACCGACAAGATTAAGCCTCAGACCAGAGAAATACCACATTTAGATTAGCTCCCCCCCCCCCCCCAATCCCTTTTTTATTTAGATGATGAAGGAGGGTTCCTGCAGGACCATTCTGGCCACTTCCAGAAACTTTGAGTGCAGCAGCAAGATCCTGAACACTATGCTTGCCAACAGGAAAGGACAAATGCACTTCATGACTAATACAGGAGCTGGCTTTGTTCTTGGGGAGTGATTGAGACAAATTAACTGAAATAAAAGGGAAGCAGGTCACAGGCTTTCTGTTTCATGTTTATTCAGTGTTGCTAGCTATAGCAACTTGGTTAATGCAAGATTACAGGGTCAGCACCTCAAAACAGGAACAACTACGCTAAGAAATAGAACTGCTTTCCTCTCGGAGGCTGGACAGGTGCAGAGTAGAA